GTACGTGGCCGCGGTGCTCAACCTCACAGCCCCCACTGACTTCGTGCTGGGCGACGGCACGCTCCGGCACGGCTACTACAACGCTCCCCTGCAGCCCGACGGCAACTACGCGGTCCTGCTGCGTCTCGTTCGCCGCGGGCAGCAGGTAACATCTCACACCAAGCTGAGGCGCCCTCACAGTGCGGCCCCCCAGCCGCTCTGCCCATGGGGCAGCTCTCTGCTCCCTGCAGCGGGCGTCTGCGCTGCGGTGGCCTGAGCTCTCCCCCCTGTCTCCTGCAACAGGCAGAGAAGTTCACCTGTGTCTGCTACAACGTCTCCGCTGGTGAGTGGGCTCCTCTGCTCTCCTCTGGGACAGGCTCAGCCCCACACCCTGTGCCCGACTCTCCCTCCTGCATCCTGCCTTTTCCCAGCCTGGTCCCTTCCCTGGGAGAGTGTTTGGCTGAGCACAGGGACAGTGGGCTCTTGGTGCAGAGGCCAGAGGAAACCTTGTGTTTCTCCTGCATATGAATTCTACCATAACTGGTTGCCACTTCCATGATCTTGCAAATGCCTATGATCTTGAAACTCTGGCAAGTAGGCTTAGGGCAATGTTTGGCCTCTTTCACAGGTGTTTGCTGACCTCCCTCCATATCTCTCCTCATGGTATTTACTGTTCATTTCCATCATGATGCCAGAGTTGGACAGTTTCTGGGGTTGACTGGGTACCCCTGGCCTTGTCCTGATGCCAAGACCTGTGCTGTGGCTAACACTGCAGCATGAGATGCACTGCTAGGAAAAAAAAGTCCTCTTTCTCCCCATTTATCTCCCAGGTCCATTGCCTCTTGCTCATCCTCACGTGCTCCAGCACCATGTTACAACATGGGTAGAACAGAGAAGCTTGGAGCTGGCCAGGAGCCATCTCTGACAGTTCTTCCCAATGCTGAAAGCAGCATGTCTTCCTTGGTAATGGGTCCTGTAGAGGGACTGGTAGATCAGTTGTCACACATCACTGGTCAGACAACACAGAGCAGCTTTAAAGGGCTGGCATGGCTGGCAGCCATGGGTATTGTGCATCTATGTCAGCATCTTGTATTGCATATTAGTCTTAACAGCTCATGGATCCGTGTACAGCCCCACTAATGCAAACACCTCAATGTTCCCGCCATGCCTGGGGACAGTTAAAAAAACAGTGCTGATGCTGAAAGGTGTCATTCCAGGCAAGCCTCTACTCTTCCTGCTCTGGCTTAGCTGTTCTACATACAAAGCCTGTGGTGGGAGGTGAAAAAAAGCTGCTTTGCTCTCTACTACCCCAGTGAGATCTCCCAGCACCTGGTTCGGGCTGTGCAGGAACCTGAGTCTGGGCTATGCTGGTTGCAGGGCAGGAGCCGATTTCTCAGCTGGTCAGGACGGTGGTGGTTATAGCAGTAGCGCTGGTGGTGGCACTCCTGGCACTGGGGATTTTGCTGCTCTTCTTACTCGTCAGGTCAGTATGTGCCTCACCTCTCCTGCTCTCTGTGTTGCCATGGGACATCCAGCTCTCCACACTGCCGGGCAATGTGCAGAGTGGACCGTGAAATAAAGCAAGGTGGAAGGCAGGGCTATGGACAGCGCCCCCTCCTCCCAGAAATCTCTCACTTCTGCTGGTCTATGGGTCTGACTTGCTGTTTTGCAGGAGGAAGCGTAACAGTTCAAAAGCTTGTGAAAGAAACAGCACCATCCCCCTGAAGAAATGCCGAGGAGGTGCAGTATGAGCAGAGAGCCTGATAGTCCTGTCTGGATAAGCTCTCTATTAAAATCACAGGCAGGGGGGTTCTGAGCTCCCTAGCGGAGCATCAAGTACATGCTAAACTGTTGGCCTTGTGATCTCCAAAGGTGTGAACAAGATGAATACACGGGTCCCAGTGGAGGAACTACTGGAGGTTCTGAAAAGGTTCAAGAGGGAAGAATTAGAGGCAGAGCACACAGATGATGAATCAGTGAACAGGCCCAGTGCTGGACGTCTGGGAGAGTATCAGGTCTGGTTTAGCTTTGCTTGCCCACTTGGCTGCACTGTCCATCCAGACTCAGCCTCTCCTTGGAGGTGTGACACAGCTGGCCTCAGCCAGCCTCAGAACATGTACTAATGCAGAGTGGGCTCATCTTCTTCCCCTGCAGAAACTGGTCTCCACTTTGTTGCATCCTTGCAATGCTGGGAAGGAACTGTGTAATCAGGACAAGAACCGCTACAAGAACATCATCCCATGTAAGCAGAGCCTCCCAGGACCTGCCCCAGGGACTGGGAGGGAGCTAGGCAGTACAGGCACTCTCTGGCTATTCAACAGTGCTGAGCTCCTCTTCTCGTTTCAGTGAAATCCACAGGGATTTCTTCAAATCTTCATGTTGGCCCTACAACTCTATATCCAACTGGAAAGTCCTGTTCTGCTCCTTAAGTCTCCCTGCAAACTTAATTATGCATGCACTTGTATATCTGTTCTTGCTGTCACGCATTGCTGAATGCTGCTGCGTTCCATCCAGAGGTGGACATTGCCGGAAATGGAGGGAGCGATTTCAATCAAAGCTTAAAGCTGCACTGGGCCTCGCTTTGTGTGGATATTGTCCTTCTCATTAGCAGGCACTGCATTTCTTCCCGTGCTCTGCTACCTTTCATTTCATAAACTATTCTTTCAATTGTGTCCAGAGGCATGGAGTGCTGGAGGGAGCAGAAATCTTGGGATTTCCTAAATCACATCCTCCTCTTTAAAGAGTCACTTTTGCTGCTGCCCCAAAGGGGCAGTCCATCAGCTCCTGTCTCCCTTCTCTTTCAGATGATCATTGCCGTGTTGTGCTGCAGTCCTCTGTCACTGGCAATGACTACATCAATGCCAGCTACGTGGAGGTGGGTAGAGAGGAATTGCTGTTGTTAGGGGGCAAGAGAAATCTCAGGTATCTTACTGCACTGGGCAGGACAGCCTTTCTTACACTGGTGACAACTTATGGACTGGCACTTGTCCCAGGTGGTGTCTTGTCCTTCAGCATTGCTGCCCTTAGGTGTTGGCAGGATGTGAGCTGTCACTTTCCTTGCATCCTCCCTTAGCTCTCTGGAGTACTCTGTGTGTGCAATTCTCATCTTCAACAAAAAAAGACCCCAGGGCACTTGCAAAAAGCGGGAGGGACAGGAATGGAGATGTCATCCTTGGATACTGGCTGTCAAGGCTGACCAAGAGTGGTGCTGCTGGACATGCTGTACCAAGCGCTCTTGGCTCTGGAGTGTGTGGAAAGGGGGTTGTTTAATGTTTAATGCATGTGATTACAGCTCTTTAAATTTGCCTCCCACAGAGCTACCAGAGTCCACACTTCTTCATTGCAGCTCAAGGTGGGTGCTTACAGCCCTGAAAATTGCCCAGAACTAGATCAGGATCCTGCATGTGCTCTGGAGAACCCTGAGCTGGTTCTGAGCCCTTTGGGTAGGCAGAGTTGGGATGGCAGCAGAGGAACTGTTAATGGCTCAGTCTGGGGACCTGTATGTCTTGTATCTCTGTCTGAGTTGGTGGCCACTGCTGCTTAGCATGGAAGGCCTTAGCAGCACTTTAGCAGTGGCCAGGCTACATAAGAAGGCTGTGATACAGTCTTTGGACTGACCAAGCTAAAGACCTGGTTGGAGCACATGCCAGCTCTCACCTGCAAACCTACCCTGTCTCCTGTGGAGACTGGTGTGATAGGTCTGGCCTTCATATGACAACCTGCAAATGCTTGACACCCCTGCACTATCAGTGAGCCTGGAGACCTGCTCCCTCTGATGGCACAGAACCAGCATGGATGAATCTGCTCTGGACAGCATGCAGTGAGGACTTTCAAAGGCTCCATGCAAGCTGCTGAGATGCTCTCCAGTAACTAAGACCGCAGATGTGGAAGCAGCTCACAGCCACCCTAATAGTCTGGCTGAGGGAGGCTGCACACTGCACTGCTGCAAGACTGCCCAGCCCTCTGGCTGCTGGACCCCAACAGGCCTCCAGGAAGCCCCTGCAGCAGCAGTGAGTCCCCGGCATACCCTGGGCTCACCTGCTCTCCCTCTTTCCTGCCTCTCTCTCCAACACGGATGCTGATGCCAAGGTGCCCGGCAATCCCTGCTAGTGCTGCTATCCCCACATTGGGCAGAGGGAAAGCCAGTGCTGCTCTGAAGTCTGGGAACATCTGCCCTATCCTGTGCATCTGTGCAGTGTCTGGGAACAGCTACACTTCCATGGCTTCAGTAGTGACGCAAGACTCTCCTCTTCTTCCCCAAGGCCCCTTGCCTGGATCCGTGGTGGATTTCTGGCAGATGATCTGGCAGGAGAAGACTTCAGTCATTGTGATGCTGACAGACTTAGTGGAGCAGAACAAGGTAGAGAAATGGTCTCAGTTTCTCTCCAGAGTCCTTGCCTGCTTTACTTTGCATTGTTGCAGGAAGATAAGAGCAGAAAGAGCAGCTCCACACCAGACTCCCTCCCCACTCTAGAGCCACCTGTTCCCCAGTGAGATCTCACCAACCTTGGCCCAGTGCAGGGGTTTGATCCCTGGGAGCAAGAGGGAGGGAAATGGTTCCAACACTGGCTGAACATGTCAGCCCCAGTCAGGACCTGTGATTCCATATGAGCCATGGATCAGTTATTGCAGCATCTGTAGCCTGACTAAGAAGAGCAGTAATACAAGGGACAGAATGCATAGCTGCTGGCTTGCAACACTCCCCTAATGAGTTTGCTAGTGCTTAGGGGGTCTCGATTCTCTTGACAGACCAAGTGTGAGCAGTACTGGCCAGAAGAGGAACAGGTCTACGGAGACTTCACAGTCACACTCAACAACACGAGGTCCACCACAGGCCTTGTCACACGCACATTCCGCCTGCAGAAGGTAAGACTGTCATGTAGCTGTTGGTGATAAACGGTGTTTCTGGGGGTTCAGCAGCTTGTAGGAGCTGTTGCCTGAGAGACCCTGATCAGACTTTCCAGGTCTCCAGCAGAGAGAAGACAGCAACTGCTCTGAGTTAATTACTCTCTATGTGGCGAAGTAGAGAATAAAGTGAATTGTGTGGCTATGCCCTTGGTGAATTTCCTCAGAGTCCTCACCCTTGTTGGGCCCAGTTTTGTCTGTACTGTCGACCAGTAATTGTGGTAGGGTGCTGGTGCATCCCTGCATTTCTCCACTACTCCCTACATATTGGCCTGGAATTATTTGCACAGCTTTCTGGGATTGTTTCTGCTTCGAGCCCACAGTCATGCCTCCTTTTCTCCCTCTCTGCAGACAGGTTGTGCTCTCCCAAGACTGGTGGAGCAGTTTCACTATCTGCTGTGGCCAGATCATGGGGTCCCCAGAAACCCTACCCAGCTCCTGTACTTAGTGGAGAAGGTGAACAAGACGGTGTCAGAAAACCCTACCGGTCCCGTGCTGGTGCATTGCAGGTACTCGGCTGGGAGCGCTTGGGGCCTGGGGCAAGGGTGGCCAAGGCAGCACTGTTGCCCCTTTATTTCATATTTTCAGTGCAGGGATTGGGCGGACCGGTACCTTCATTGCCCTGGACTTCCTCCTGAAGATGGCAAAGGCCGAAGGCAAGGTGGATGTGTTCCGGTGCGTGCAGAAGCTGCGGGAGCAGCGGGTCAGCATGGTGCAGACCAAGGTGTGGAGTATTACTTGTTCCCTGTATGCTGCAGCTGCAGATTGCAGCTTCTGTTTCTCACTCTGCCCAGGGATGTGTCGTGCAAAACCTCAAAGGCTGTGTGGTGCACGGTCTAGCAACAGACACCAGAGCTGTCAGGGGGCTGAGGCTGCACGCTCTTTTTTTTGTGATGGTTTCTAAACCTAGGCAGCATCTATGCTCTCTTGAGACCCTCTGAAGTGGTAGCAGTCTTCCTATGTGCCATAATCATGGTATGAAAGGGCTGTCTTATAAGAAAGATGGGTGCATGGCAGTCCACATGTCCTTCAGGCTTGCAGGAAATCTGCCCTTGTGACATTCTCTGGGCAGCAATGTCCTGGCTGAAGGACTTTCTTCCCATGGTCTGTTTAATACTAGGACCCCTTGGAGGGCATCTGTAGAGTAGGCAGTGTTTCTTGACCCCTTGAAGAGGAGGAGCTGTTCACAGTCCTTGTGAATTTGCTTCCTCACAGCAGGGGCCTGGGCTGAGAGGGAACTTTGAATCACAGGAAAATGTCCTTGTCAAGGTCATTTCATTTGCTCACTGTCCCTCAGCAACACTAGGGAGCTTTTTGACTTCAGGGACCTACGTTAAGGAGCATCAAGGAACACACGCATATGTGGAGTTCCCTTCAGTCCTATGGCTCTGGACTAGATTCCGAGGGCTCCCCATGTTGCGGCCCTGGATGCAGACAGACGGAGCTGGTCTGGGCTGTGCAGCTGACCTGTGTGCCCATACAGGAGCAGTACACCTTCTTGTACGAGGTGTTGCTTGAAGGCCTGCTCTGCGGCAGTACCGGGGTCCCTGTGGAGGGTATCATCAGCCACATCAGCCGCCTACAAGAAGCTGAGGCCCAGAGGCAGAACATGCTCGAGAAGGAGTTCAAGGTACCATGGGATCTCATTCTGGGGCAAGCTGTAAGGATCACAGATGTTGCTCTGGTGACAGGCAAGTCTCATCTTTACTAGGGGGATTTCAGCATAGGGCTCTCCTGCAGAGCTTGCTGATTGCTGGGCAGAGCCTCTCCCTCTGCATGTCTTGGTGTCCAGAGGTAGAGTTGGCAAGCTGGCCGGGATCATGTCTTTGAGGCCTTGCCAAGGGTGGCTGTAAATGCAGCTCTTGGTGTTCTTGTTTCCTTTATTGCAAAGGAAGGTGCTGATGGGGCTGGTCTCTAGTATCAAGACCCACCTTTCAGCTCCCCTTCAGCAGTGAGAGGAAGATGACAGATGCTTTTTTTGGGGACGCAAAAACGCGGAGAGAGTTGCTGATTGATAGGCCAGAATGACTCATCTGAATCATCCCTTCAGGCCTTGCAGAAGTTTTCCGAGTTCTTCCAGCTCCTGCCATGCAGAGAAGCAGAGAAACCCAGCAACCAGCCCAAGAACCGCAAGGCAGGGATCCTGCCAGGTATTGTTGCCCTTGTCTCATGACACAGCAATTGGGAACAGTACTGGGGGACCGAGGTGATGCTGCCCTCAGCCTCGCCACTTGCCTCCCCTGTGCCACACCACTGCCAGACTCTGCCCAGGGGAACCAATGCCACTTTATAGCTGACAGTGCTCAATGTAGACTAGACTGGTCTGTCCATATGAGCAAGGCCCCATCCAGGCCTCCTTGCTTCCTCCTGTGTCAGCCAAACAGGTGGATTCACAGTCCATCCCTAGGATAAACACGTCCCTGGAGCAATTCTGCCCCAGAACTGGACATCAGCAAGCAATCAGGAGGGCAAAGCTGCCTCCCGTGGTGCCTCCACCCATGTGGGCTCAAGACATCCCATGACAATTGGCCCTGAGTGCTCCTGGCACTGGGACTGGTAGTGTCTGCTCATCCATGCTGACTCCCAGCACTTGCAAGGAAAGCGCTGGGGTCTCTGTACAGGGAGAGGATGTCTCACCCTTGCTCTCTTTGTCCTTTGCCTCCACAGCGGATTCCTGCCGGCCCATGCTCATGTCCTCCCTGAACGCAGATGGCTCACCAGGTTACATCAATGCAGTGTTCACCGATGTAAGGCTCCAGCCTCAGCAGGGGTTTGGAGCTGCCTGCAGCAGCAAAGGCTCTCAGGGCCCTGCAAACACAACCTCTTTGGGCTGCGGCTCCCTGTTCTGCTGTGTCTCAGCGCTGGGACTTCCTCTCAGTGGTTGTTTCTTGGTGTCTGGTCCCTGCTGCCAGGAGATGGCCTCAGTGATCAGCCTAAACCCTGCCTGTGCTGGCTGCTGTCCCCCTCTTTTCCTCCTCTAGTGTCACCCACCTGCAGACTCACCCCTCAGGAACTCAGCATCTGCCCTCCTCAGGGCTCAACATCATCCAGGGGGGCAGGTGGAGGGACATGTGGAAATTTCGCAACAAGGCACTACTAGGGAAGGCTGGGGTTACTCCTACCCACATGCACAGCAGCTGAGACCCACGGCTACATGTATCCCCTCCGTGGCATTGCTGTCCTTGCACAGGAATGGAAAGAGCAGCTCAGCTGGGAGGAGGCAGGGACCCTTTCCTATGATTAGCGGGGCTCTAAGGGGGTGGATTATGTGACCTTCCTCCCCCCTCTATTTTGCAGACATACACTGAGGAAGACAGATTCATCATCACACAGCTGCCACTTCCGGACACAGTGGTGGATTTCTGGGCTCTGGTCTGGGATTATACCTGCACTTCAGTGGTCATGCTAAACCAGCTCCAGGAGCTGGACCAGGTCAGCAGCCCACAAGCCCCCCTCACCTGCCTGTTCTCACCACAGGGTCAGGCAGTGTGTTTTCTGCGCTGAGCCCACTGCAGCTCTTCTCACGGGGCACTAAAGTGCTGGGGTCTCCCCACTCTCATGGCATGGGCAATGGAAGAAGGGACATCCCTTGAGTTTTGCTTATGCTGGCCTTATATCCTTTCTGTGAGGGTGTTATTGTTGGTGGGTGTTTTTGGTTTTTTTTTTTTTTTTTGGTTGCTGCACTGGGGATTGTTGGTTGCAAGTGCATGGCTGGCAGATCACCCCTGTGCTCACCATGATTTGTGAGCAAACAGCTGGGCTTTGCTATGCAAGCAGCTTGAGACAATGTGTGGTAACATGTGTGTCATCCCCCAGACGTACATGGAGTTCTGGCCTACCCAGGGGGAAGCCATTTACGGCCGTTTCCATGTCCAGATGATCTCAGAAGAGCCCGGAGCTGGCTTCACAGTCCGGACACTTGCTCTGACCAACCAGCAGCAGGTGAGCTCTTTGTACAGAGATGGTGCCATGAGACCAGGCCTGGCAAGAGCTGGGAGTCCTAGCAGGGCTCCATCAGCAGCAGCTTTTGCTCTGGGACTGAAGTCACAGCTCACAAAGGCAGAGACTACAAAGGTCAGGGAGACTTGAGGAGGTCCTTGGAGGACACTGAATGATGTAAGTGGTACAGGGCAGAAAACTGTGCTGCCCTTTCTAACTTCAAGGCAGTGTCTGTGGAGTCTGTGCATCTTGGTGGTGGTTCTTGAACCGGGGCGGCTATTACAGCTGGTCAGTGTCCGCACTGAGATCAGTCTGAGCTTCACCTGATTGATAGCTCTTATCTCAGGCTCTGCCTGTCTGTCCATCTCAGAGCACTCATGGAGAAGGCTTGAGTCACTCTCTGGGACTGGGCCTTCCCACCGGGACTGCACCCTTGACCTACGCAAGGCAGAGCCAGGACTGGCACAGTCCCTCCCTTCTCTCCACTAAGTTGATGGGTTTCTTCTAGGCTCAACTCACTGTGTTTCTTCCCTGCTAGCCCAAGAAACATGCACTAAAGATCCACTTCTGTCAGCTGGAGGACTGGCCTATGAAGCAGTGCCTTCCCCCATGCCCTGCCACCATCATCAGCTTGCTGGGGAAGGTGGGGACACACCAGCGACAGAGCCAAGATGCACACGTACTCGTCACTTGCTGGTGAGAAAGGTCTCCAGCATGGCACAATCTAGGCTGCATCCATGCTGACAAAAATGTATCACAATTCCAATCGCAGCCCAGGGGAAGAGTGGACTTGTGGATCAGGTGTGTTCATGGGAGCAAGGCTTCCCCACTGCAGGCTGGCTTCATGTGAGATATATAAAAATATTCTGGGAACCCCCAGCACTGTGTGGCTAACAGGACAATCCCCTCCCCCACCACGCTCAGTAGTATCGGGTGATCCCGAGTGAAATGAGTCTCCAGCTGCACTTCTCCACAGGGATGGTGCCAGTCGAAGTGGGATCTTCTGTGCTGCCAATTTCCTCTGTGAGCAGATCCAAAGTGAAGGGCTAGTGGACGTGTCCCAGGCTGTGAGGATGTTGAAGAGACGGCGGAGACAGCTGGTTAAGGATGTGGTAGGTACCAGTTCCAAACCCTGCTGGGATGGTGACACCAGAGCAGGGGCCATAGCCTTAACAGCTTTGAGGCAGCTACCTCAAACCCTATATGTTCAGATCCTTTTGGGAATAAAAGGAGACCGCTAGAAACCTTACTTTATCCTTGCTAGGACATACGCAGCCCACTCAGCAGCAACCTCTGCAGGACCAGGCAGGTGCTGAAGCATCCCATAGACCGAGCTGCCCCTTGTTGGTCAATAGGCCCTGCTCAGATGAGGGCTATGTCTGTCTGGCACCTACCTCCCAGCTAGGTAGCCCATGCTAGAAGCCATGATGGGGTAATCGCTTTGGATGGGTGTGAGCAGCTGTGGATGCTGGCTTTCCTCTTGAGGCCAGCTAGCTGCAGTCCCTCAGCTCACTGGAGCACATACCTGTGATTTCTCAGTCGAGGAAGGTGGGTGAGAGAAGAGTAAGTGATACCAGTGTGAGGCTCATTCAGAAAGCTGTCAGCAGCCAGGCTGGCCTTCAATGACAGGAGTTCCTGCACCGTGTACTCATGTGTGTCCTGTCCACAGGAGCAATATCGATTTTGCTATGAACTGGCTCTCGTTTACTTGAATTCGTTTGAAACCTACGGAAACTTCAAGTAGAGGCACGGCCACCTCCCATATCCGGCCAGGACTCCAGCTCTCTGCCAATGACTTTGGAAACCAGAGGAGATAGTGCACAGTGTCAAGATACTTTACTCCTGTATCATCTGCAGTTGCACAGGGCAGACTGGACTGTCTCCAGGTTATATTGTCACTGATCAGGCTTTGAAGCAGTAATCCTGTGCTTTGCCCAGCGTTTGGGCCAGAACTTATTTGTCATCACAGCCTGGGCGTGCAAGCTGGAGAGGAGGCACCGAGACTTGATGTGTTTTTGCTTGGGATGGAGTGAATGAGCTGCCCTCGGTCCCATTTCCCTTTAGGCAACTGCATGGGAAAAAAGTAGCTCCACCAATACAAGACTATTCCACCAGGCAAACATCAAATTTCTATCAGATCCACAGGGTTCCAGAGTCCAGTCTCATTGTCCTGAATTGGGAGAAGCACAAAGCCCAAGGCCAGGAAGAGCTAGAACAAGGAAAAGCCACGCTCTTTCAGGACTCTCCTATTCCAAAATCCCTTCCTCAAGTGCTGTGTTGATTATCTCATTTGCTATTGCTTTAACAGCTCTGGGGAGGCTCCCTCACTAGTCTATCTCCCTCCACCACAGTGGTCCAGCACTAATCTTGGTCACAGATCTGGTCTGTCACAGATCTAAGTGACAGATCAGAGGTCTAATCTTAGGTACTCTTAGAATTATAGAATCATTACTGTTGGAAAAGATCTTCAAGATCATCGAGCCCAACCATAAACCCATCAGCACCATGCCTGTTAAACCATGTCCCTAAGTGCCTTATCTATATGTTTCTTGAACGCTACCAGGGACAGTGACTCCACCACCACTCTGGGCAGTCTGTTCCAATGCTTGATTACCATATATAAATTTTGCCTAATATCTAACCTGAACCTCCTCTGGCACAATTTGAGGCCATTTCTTCTTGTAGTTATTCTCCAGAAGAGATCAACCCCCATCTCACTACAACCTCCTCTCAGATAGTTGTAGAGAGCGATAAGGTCTCCCCTGAGCCTCCTCTTCTCCACACTAAATAACCCCAGCTCCCTCGGCCACTCCTCTTAAGGTCTGTGCTCCAGCCCCTTCACCAGCTTCGTTGCCCTTCTTTGGATATGCTCCAGCACCTCCATGTCTTTCTTGTAGTGAGGGGCCAAAAACAGAACACTGTATTATTTGAGGTGCAGCCTCACCAGTGCCGAGTACAGGGGGATGATCACTTCCCTAGTCCTGTTGGCTATACTGTTCCTGATACAAGTCAGGATGCCATGGCTACTATGGCAGTTTGGCTCCCAGAAGGGCCTGCTGTACCTTGGAGAGTGGTTCTGGCAGAGTTAAGCAAAGGGAAAGGGGCCTCAGAGCCAGGAGTTCTGTGTCTCATGAGTAAAGATTTTTTGCTGGCTGTGGTTGCGCAGAGCTATTTTTGCTGTTCTTCCAGACATGATCAGGCATGGGGCCAGTAGAAGAGAGAAGAGCATGCAGGTCACCTGGTTCTGCTCCCAGCACAGGCACAGGCGACAGTCTTGCCCAAGGTGTGTGCGCACCCACCTGACTCCTACCACACACCCCACACAAACACTGTGAGGGCTTTTTAGCACAGGGGATCATGGCAGCCCTGCTCCCAGCCTCCCTTCCCCAAGACGCAGTTAGCTCAGCTTCCCACAGGACATGTGACGCCAGAAGGGTACAGAGAGGAGCAGGCAGGAGGTGAAGCAGGGCTGACAGCACCCTCCAAACCACAAACATTTATTGTTTTTCTGGACACAGCAGGCAGAGCAACAAGGGCCCCATTTGAGCAGAGCTATGGATGTGGATGGACATCAGGAAATGCAGCAGGGAGAGGGAGTGGGAGCTCAGCTGGGGCAGCAGCACAAGTTCCACCTCAGCTTGAGCCCATGCAGTTCAAGGGTTAGGAAGCCTTGTTTCCAGTTCCTGCTTCCAGGAAAGCAAAAAAGAAAGCAAAGCGTCAAAAACAAAACAAAACAAAACAAACAAACCTCGAAGAAGTCTCATTAAAATATGTGAGGTAAGTAAGGATGGGGCAAGGTAGAGGGTCAAGAGAACAGAAAGGACAGCCTTTTCTTGGCCTTCTGTTCTCCTCTTGCTCTGCTGAACTAGATGAGGGCTCTCAGAGCTGGTCACAGTCAGGAGGGCCTGGGGAGCCGGCTGCCATCAGCACCAAGCAAGGGGCATCCTCTTCCTCTTCTCCAGTCTCTCACTGCTCCGCCTGCCTCCTGACACCTTTGGCAGAGAACAGGATGTTGGTTGCCAGAGCAGAAGCTGCCAGGGGCCCTTCACAGCATGGAGAGGTCCCACCAGCACAGCGTTCAGCACAGGCGAGTGTCTGAAGCTGGAGTGCTGGGCAGTGCCTGCTCCCAACCTTATCTCCAAGCTGTGCCCATTCACAGGTCTTCACAGAGGCGCCCTGGGTGTCCCAGGCTCGCACACATTAGAGCAGCCAGTGCCAGGGGCCCGTCCCTCCTGCAATCCCAACAGAGCTTTCCCAACACACAGGCCCAGCCCACAGCCCTGGGTCCCTCCAAAGAGCAACAGACAAGTCCTTTGGGCACTGCTCATTGCTTTTCCCTGGCTCTGCTCCAGACTGGGGAGATGAGCCTGGAGACCTGGGGCCCAGCAGGGAGAGTCAGCTTGACCAACCAGAGGATGGGAGAGCTGGGATAAACATGTGGCAAGTTTCTCTCAGGATGGAAGAGGTTGTGAAGATGTTTCTGCCAAAGGGTCAGGACATCCTGGGAACCACCTGCTGCCCACCTCAGCACTGCAGCCATCTCTGTGAAGGTGGCACAAGGGAGATGCATTTTTCCTACCTTTCTAATTGCTTTCCTTGGTTTGGCTGATCAAGGCCTTCTTTTTCCTGGGAAGACAAAGGCAATCCTGAGAGGGGCAAGGCTGACATGGCCCAGGGCCCTGCTGACCCCAGCAGCAAAAGGATGGAGGGCTTTATATCCCACTGCTCTTGGCCTCCCGCAAAAGGGAGGAAGAGTTGCCCACCAGCACCTTGAGTGACAGCAGCAGTTGCAGGAAGAACCACAAGGAAAATGGTCCTGCAGTGCCTGTTGCCTCTGCCCCATCCCTAAAGCAGAAGTTCACAAGCCCCAGGCTGGAGCCCTACAGCTAAGGGGTGAGATCAGCCAGACAATGGTAGCAGCAGGAGAGAGGGCCCAACCAGCCCAGCTTCCCCCGAACACACGAGGTGGCAACAGAGAAGTGATCCAGGTTCCCAGCCACTCACCTGGACAGTGCAAACCACAGGATCCCTGCCAACAGGAAGGCCAACACCACAAGCACAAGAATCACCGTGATCGCAGTCCAAGACCACGAGGCTTTCTCTGCAGTTAACAAAGAGATGGGTGGGTGTCACAGCCTAGGGCCCCAGTCATATGTATGGAGTGTGAGCACATGTGTGCATACATGTGCCTGGGCTCTGCCATCTGAGATGCTGCAGGGGACAGGCAGTAGAGCCTAGTCATGCTGTGCCTTGCAGGGAACCAGCAAACAATCCAACTCTCTGTCTCCTTCCACATGCTCTGTTGGCACTGCCTCATAACTGACTCTTTCCTCTGGGTCTTTGAAGGGGCAGGAAGAAACAACCCCAGTCAGCAAGGCCACCATATACCAGAAGGGAACCCAATGAGAAAACTGTGATGTTCCCTTGTTGGACCTAAGTTACATAGGATCCTTCCCCACACACAACTCCATGCAGCAGCATTTCTTGGGAATGGAGGAATACCCACATGTAGGAGAAACACAAGGTTTCCTCTGGCCTCTGCACCAAGAGCCCACTGTCCCTGTGCTCAGCCAAACACTCTCACAGGGAAGGGACCAGGCTGGGAAAAGGCAGGATGCAGGAGGGAGAGTCGGGCACAGGGTGTGGGGCTGAGCCTGTCCCAGAGGAGAGCAGAGGAGCCCACTCACCAGCGGAGACGTTGTAGCAGACACAGGTGAACTTCTCTGCCTGTTGCAGGAGACAGGGGGGAGAGCTCAGGTACCGCAGCACAGGCGCCCGCTGCAGGGAGCAGAGAGCTGCCCCATGGGCAGAGCGGCTGGG